CGTAAGTAAAATTGAAAAACCGAAAAAGAAAAGAAAATCATTTAAATGAAATGACAGAAATTCGATTCACGCTCATTACTAATAAATAATTTATTCATCTAATCTGTAACTGAACGGCCGTTGTGCTCTCTTCGATTTTCTTATGTTAGTCTCTTCTTATTCCGATCAATGTTTTCATCAATGCCTCGGAACTCGAGTTTAAAAGCAAATAATTAAGAAAATCTTACTTTCAATCTAAAATTGAGGACGCAATTATTTCTGAGCAGCGCCGGAGACTTTGAATGGGAAAGGCGAGCTCAGCATATTTTGTACTTTCCATCATTTATTCATTGTTAGAAGTGGTCACATCAAGTGTTTTTTCTTGTTTCTTGAGAAATTTTCATTGACTTTTGTTTTTTTTTTTTTTTTTTTTTTTTTTATTATAACTTAACGAATTTCGCGCCCATTTTATCGAGAATCATTTCATATAAGTAATTAGTTCGTGGAGATACCCAGTCGGGATGATGGTTGCTTCAAGCTCATCCAGTTAAGTTGATGATTCTCCATTAATAAATAAAGTGATTATTCTTCACTGCGGATGCGGAGTATATTCGTTTCGTCCAAACGTTTGCAACGCCCAAAAGGAAGCCGCATCAGAGAACCCAACAAAGTATATGTCCTTTCTTGATCAGCATCAAATTCTGAATTGATTTATGCACAGAGGAACAGTGTTTTTTTTTTTTTTTCTTAATCCGCCGATAAAAGATGATCTGCTGAGCTAAAATATATGTTTATAGAAAGGAGAGAACAAAAAACAATATACAGATTTATTATACATAATTTTTTTTTGTTTACAACCTAAATCGAGTAACTAACTAGGTCACGCTCCACCATAAGAATGAAAAGGAAAATTTAATAAGAGATTTACAAGAAAATGCGAAATATTTAATATTAGTGTAAACTATAAACAATAATTTATATTACATTCAAAAATGTGTTAAGAAACGAAATGAAACGAAGAATTTCAATCCTATAGAAATGACAATTGGACAGTAGCGCAAGAGGAGTAGCGCAAAAGTATAGATGAGATTTTTATAAAAGACTTTTTTCACTTTTTAGTTTGGAGTTTTTTTCTAAAAGATTTATTGGATAGAGAGTTAGTTAGTTGTATTTCTTTACCGAGAGACAGAGAAGAAAGTGTGAAATGTCTCCAAGTCATGTATCCATGGCGATCAAAATGCGCAATCACATAACATCAATGAACATAAACAAGTCGACGAAAATGCGTAAAACACCTGCAACCGTTAAAATTAATTTCATTTCATAAAATTACCGAAGTAAGTCTGCTCTTAAGTAGACAACACACAAGTAAAAGCATTGCACTCGGCTATGGTCAATCATTGAATACACTACATCACTTTGTCTAATATACTTAGTTAGTTATTCATGTATTTATGATTTTTCAAAATAAAGCATTATGTGGAAAAGGCTCGACGAAATGCTCCGATCTGAATCATTTTCAATAGCGTTCGTCCTTGGGAGAATACGAATTCTTTGCATGTAGTCGAGTGTACGAAGAAAAAGTTTTAGTTACATCGCGAGGCCAATATCGCAGCGAGAATAGATCGCAGCAGCGGCATATATATGAATCTTGGGCAATTATATGAGATGTGGAATATCTTTAGGACCTAACGTAAATAAAATAGAATCAGAAATCATCAATATGGGCAGTATCTAAGAGGTAAAATATATCATTAGGTGCACGAGATTTTTAAAGAAAATTTTTGTGTTTGTGTTTGTCAAGTAGAATGCTGTGTACTACTTCAAATACAAGAAGAAAGACGAGGTTATTTTAGTTCTTCAACTTCATATGTTGTGATAAATTCGATCAATAGCTTTACAGCAAACATGTAGAAATTTTCGAGTCTGACAGATCATTACATACTCTACTCTACTCTACTATACTTCCCTTAATACAATACTTTAATCAATTTCTTGGTAAAATGCCAAGAAATTGCTCCCATCCTTTGATGGGAGCTCTTATACGAGAAGTAGAGCGAGAGTAATGCGGTCTAAGTTTCGCAAAAAAAAGCCTTTTTGCGGAAGGTCTCAAGGTTAAAACTTAACCTTGATGCCATATAAGCAATCTTAGAGAAGGCGGAAGATCTACGTAGTTCAAACGTGATACTGTTTAGTAGTCTAAGTTAATTATGGACTAGTTTGCAAAATAAAACAATAAAAAATTGAATTTTTATCGTTTATTTTTCAACGGTACCTTTACATGGAAAATTTATTCCCCTGATCTGAATTTACCATAATTGGTTTTTTGTGTGAAACTACGAGTACGGAGCAATGGTTTTGCTATATGAAGGCTTACTTTTCAAAGGGAACGATTATATAAAAGAGGGTTCAAAGCATCGGTCTGTTCGCTCCGAATTCTACACATCGATGTAGGGTGTCAAAATAGCGCTACTTGGCGAGCTTTGTCGAGAAATTTTGAAAATTGCAATATCTTTTCATATATGTTTTTTCAACCCAAGCAACCTTGGCATTATACGAAGAGTGATTGTAAAAGTAGTCCGATCTAAACCAATTTTAAGAGATTTCGTGCCTGGACCAAAACACATCATTGCGACAAACTATGTCAAAATATCTCAAAAGTTACGATTTTTAGGTGGACGGATGATCAGACAGACAGTCGGACAGATATGCATCTATCGAAGCAGAAAATAATTCCGGATGTGTAGACAAGGACACATGTGATCTGTTTGGATATTATATGCATCGGTGTACACCTGATATATGAAGTATCACAGGTGCTGTAGGGTGTAGTCAATATAAATTAATGTCTTTTTGGAAAATTCTTCTAAATTGATACAAATTTCATTTTAAAAAGATTCAATTTATCATTTCCGGTAGGATTAGAATTGTTGCATGCCACTTATATTTTGACAAACATCCTTACAACTTTTATTACTTTGTTTTTTTTTTTTTTTTTTTTTGCATTGCTTATCTCCAGTAATAAATTCTATGGACTCTTTGCCTTTACTTACTATTGGTGATGAATATTTAGTGACGAGACGATTTTGCATGATCTTAAGTTTTTAAACACACAATTATGTTAATGAGGTTTCTGTTTGCGTTCAACTAGAGCGTCCGAATAATGACAGTGTCATCTTGAGTTATGGACACATGGAAATACATAACTAAGAGATTTTATTGTTAGTTCGGCAATATTGTTGCGGATAATTAAAAAGAAAATATTTTTCATATATTTTTGTTTTTTTTTTCTCATTTTATGAGTCAATGAATTTAGTTTTTTTAAAAAATAAATCAATTGGTTTAGGTATCTTTAAATCCATGACAATGTCTAGAATTATTCTACCATGAATACCGAATTATTATTATTATATACTCTATTATGCAATATCGTAACTGAATGGAAAATACAAATTTTCGAAAAGTTCACTTGCCGAGCAATATCTTAGGTAAGGTAGGCGGGTAAGAATACGAATTCATTTATTAGTTTTAAAAATCAGCAAAAATGAATGGTTCGATATGCATATGTATGAATCGTTTTTTGGATCCATATATTTCGATAAATTCCATAATTCCAGAATTCTACTGCGATTGCCATAAAAATTCGCCATAAACCGTATGTCTCTCGTTTAAAATTAATATCATGTCATACCCATAAATTATTTTATAATAAATTCTCGTCCTTTCACTTAGTTTTCATGACAACTTTCAAGAAAAGGTGCTTATATGAAATTCTTCGCATACACTCTCATATTTGATAAACTTCAACACCAACTCCCAGCCAATAGGAAAATATTTTTGTCATAAATTTTTAGCTCTTCTTACCCATAAACACGATATGTTATATACATGGTGTGGCGCGATGTCTATGTTACATATGAAAAAGGGGAGGGGGGGGGGGGAGAAATTTGAAAATTTCATTCAAACAAACAAACAAACAAACATTTCGAACCAAAAATTTATTTATTTATTTATTTTTTATTTTTATTTTTTTTTATATCTTCATATTCAATGAAATTTTTGCATTTTAGATGAGTTCGAGTCGAGCAGTGAAATGCAACAGTGTCTGGTTTGAGTCGTTGTTTATTGATACGAGCAAACCAAGCGCGATTACGTTCCTTTGGGGTTAATATTTTCTCGGTAATGTGTTTGTTCGTGTGTATTAGTATGTAAGTGTATATAAATTTTAGTTTATTTGTGCAATTTGAGATTTCTGTGGTTTTCGAGTTCGGGGGCGTTAAGGTGCTTAATATATATTGTTGTATGTCCTGGTTTTGTGGCGCATAGTGGTGTGCGATATTTAATGGACGTATGCACAAGAACTCGCTAACGTTCAAACTACCTTTCTTTCTTTCTCTGACTATCCCACTACCTCTCTATCACACGCTCTTTCGATTACTGACTCTATTTCCCTCTCTCCATTCCCTTCTTCCATACGCTCTTCTTCGAGCGCACTCTCCCTCTCGTTGGTTCTCCTGCCCCACGGTTTTTGCCATCATAAATAGAAAATCCATAAATTTGCAAAATAATTGTATACGCGTTAAATATCTTAAATTTAGAAAATTTATAAACGAATACATGCACACCTCTTCATATAAATGTATATCAGTGTGTATTTGAGTGTGCGGTAGAAATGTTTGCTTTATATTTATCATACATTCTAAGTCAATAATCGAACTTATGTATGTGTGAATGCATATATATGTGTGTGTGTGTGTGTGTGTGTGTCTGTGTGTATGTGTATGCGTATTATTGTATGGCAGACTAGCAACCAAGCAAAGCTAATTATGTATATGACCTGAATGGTTTGCCTCTGAGTAAAGGGGTAAAATTTATGTTTTAATTTTCTCTCGACGGCTGATGTACACACATGCATACGCACGCATATAAGTAAAAACTTTATCTCAATTTCGATTTACTGCATTGTTATTGTTACTATTATTGTTGTTTTGGTTTTTTGTTTTATTATTGTATCATTCCAGGTAAAAGTTTCACTTTGAGCATAATCATCTCAACGAATCCCATACAAGTTGCCACTTATAATAAAGCAATTAAAGTTACCGTGGATGGTCCGCGGGAGCCACGTTCAAAAGTACGTCATCCTGGCTTTCATCCGTTTGCCTTTGGCCCTCAACGTTTCGGCCCAGATCCGCTTATGGGTGGTTTACCATTTAAATTGCCCGGTAAGTTTCTCAAAAAATGAAAAAAAAAAGAAATGAAAAAATAACAAGCAAAAATTACACACAATAGACACAAACGGGAACGAAATGAATGAAAATCTGATATTATTTTCCCTGGTTACGCAAGCAATGATATGCAAAGGAAATCCTCCTTTATAACATTTCCCCGGTCTTTCATCTTAAATCTGTTAACTATTGCCTGTAGCTACCAACAAATTAGTCACGATGATGATATTGTTACAGCGCACAACACTCTGCATATCATTATGACAAACAACACAATAACAACATTACATTACATTACATTACATTACATTATATGTCGTTATGTTCGGGCTGCTGTTTTGGGGTTTAACTGTGAAGCATACAAAGTCTCTCAGTCAGACTGGCTGAGTAACTTGTCATCGCCATCAAAATAAAGTATGAAATCCAAGTGAAATGGCAAAGAGAAACAGAGAGAGAGAGAGAGAGAGAGACAGAGAGAGGGAGAGTAAGCGAAGGGGGGGGGGGGGGGGGGGGAGATGCAAAGTCATCGGAGAAAATGTAACGGGGCGGGCGGTGTAGCGGACTGGGCGGGTAGGGTGGGGCGGCTTTAGCGAGAAGAATGCAGTGGGAAAGGATATATTGTTGTAGTAGGTTTTTATGAAAGCCTTGATAGAGATTTTCCCAATCAAATTGCTTCAATCAATTTCCATCAAATCCGTGTAACGCATCACAATCACCATTAAATTGACGATGATAATGACGATGATGTTGACGGCAACAAGATTTTCGTTTTTCCATTTGAAGGATTTTCTCATTTTTTTTTTTTTTTTTTATTGTGGTTTTATAACAGATAGTTTGGGAAATAGGTTTAATTTTTTAAAATTTAAAAAAAAAAAAAAAAAAAAAAAAAAAAAAAGAACAAAAACAAAAAAGAACAGAAAGAACAGAAAAAGAACTGAAAAAGGGAAAAAGGGAAGAAGGGAAAAAGAAGAGGAAAAAGAAAAAAGTATTGCAACCTTTTTAAAACAATTTATAAAAGTGTGTTGCTGAGCAAAATTCATTAAAGCTCTTTATTAACTTTACGCCTTATTCTAGGTAAACCTTCATCAAAACTAAAAATATGTTAAGCACCCTTTATCATCATAACTCACCGCCTTCGCTTCTATAAGTTAGAACCCATACTAATCCTTCAATAGCGTTTAACACCATGTGTTGCAGTCATTTGCACCCACGTATATTTTTCGTAAGATTATGTTTAAAATTGTTATTACTTGGCGGTGGCGGCGGCGGCATTAACGGCAACAACAGCAGCCCCCAGTAGCTGTTGTTTTAAAATTTATGTAAATTTCATGTTTTTGTTTTCATTTCTGGTTCACAAGCTTGTTTTCGCGCCTTTAATAAAATTTTGTTATATTTTCATGCCTTTCGCAAGTTTCTCTTAAATAATAATAACAATAAACCACCCCTGGCTTTACAATAAAGTATTTCCGTCTTCTTCTAGTCCTTAACTGAACTGAACCGAACTGAACTGAACGGAACTGAACTGAACTGAACTGTATGTTAAAGGATTTAAATATTTTTAATGGATTTTCAAATCTATTCACAACATTTTCATAAAACTGTTTTCAAGCTGTTGTCATTGTTAATATAATTGTTGCCGTTTTGCCGTCGATGATGTTGTTGTTATTCTTTCATATGGTGCCACCGAATGTATGACAAATGCTTCTATGTTTTCTTGTTTTTGTGAGTTTTTCTTTAACGACAAATGTTGTCTCAAATGCTTGCCAAGTATTGCAGGCAGCTCGTAAATGAATCCGAACGCCTCTCTATTATACTAAATGCTCTTTTTGTTGTTACTGTTGTTATTATTATTATTATTATTATTATTATTATTATTATTATTATAATAACTTGAACGTTTTTGATGGTTTTGTTGTCGACTTTGCTTTGCAACAATTGAAAGTTAACTGTGTTTAACTGAGATAATGATTATTGGTGAAAAAGCGCATATCCCATTACAATTACATTTTCTGATATTGAACGACAAAGTTGTATGTAATTAAAAGATTCGATATAAAATTTGTATTGAGATTGATTTATAAAATTATTCTTAATTATAATAAATAGAAAGAAAGTGAGACCTTTGCCTTATATTTGTTGCAACTGAGCATTTTGACTTAGAGGCGAAAATAAAGCCGGAAAGCACTTTCGTTTGTAAAACCGAGCTTAAGAGATTTTAGAACTAGAAAAGCAAAACTGTAATGCCTCATACCACTTCGTCTGTCTTCTTCATAAGATATCAAAAATTATACTTTATTTCCATATAAACGCTTACCTCCCTTGAGAGCCCATATATATGTGGAGTAATTCGAAAAATGTATAGTGTCTACGTAGGTCAAAGCTGTTATAGCAAATATAAACGTAAACCCTCCCCCTTGGACCTGTGTCAGGCAACAAATATCAGGAATGGTTGCATTAAAACCAAGCGTTATATAGGGAGTACTCGTAAACATTATGCATTTCAATCGGTTTTCAACAGTGTTCGACCTTGGTCCAACAAAACATGCCTATCAAAATATTTATTATTAGGAGCATTGCGGCACGCAGATTAAAGACATGAACTGGACAGAAGGACAAACGTGCTTAAATTGGTTTAGAAAACGGGTTCGAATCGAATCGATTGAGAATTAAAGACAAGTTTATCTCAAGTCCTTCCGTACATACTTAATATACCGTTCTTATTTACGAAGAAGGGAGAGAGGGAGACATTTTGAATCTCTTTCGACATGGCTACTCCACCATTGAATTATGCGATTTGAACTTTAAACCGTAAAATTGGACCCGTCGTATGTCATAGTTGGCAAAATTTTTTTAAATTTTTTATGATGAGCTTAGAGTACCGTTAAACGGCCACCTGCCAGATTCCAGCCAAGAAGGTAAGAAGACAAACTTCCTTTAAATATTTTAAGTCGATCTCATTTCGCCTGCTGTGTGGCATAAGGCATAAGGCATCATAAATATATATGTATTTGGTTTTACTATATATAGAACTGGGATTCTTCGAAAATAGGTTAGCGCAAATCCGATATTTATGGGGCCAAATAGAATGATGATAATTCCTTCTTCTGTAGCTTCCATCACTTATGGTACTTCTTGCTTATGAAAAATTTATTAATGCAATATTTGTGAACTCAAGTGTCATGCTTATCCGGTGGATGGATTTAATTTAGTTAAGCTTTTCGATTTTAAATTCAATTTTCATTTATATCGCATTTAACTTTGAATTCACTTTATTGGTTCCATATGTAAGTGTACTTTTGAAAGCTGCGATTATATTACGCGCTAAGTATATCTCATTTGTTTATTCGTGTACGCCCATTAAAATTATTAAAAATTTCCTCTGAAAAGGAAAATGTAAAAGTGATTAAAAAAAAAAAAAAAAAAAAAAAAGAAAAGAAAATACAAAATAAAAAATCACTTTGAAAGTCAAACAACTTGATTTCACAACCATGTGTTGCTGATAAGCAACAAGAAAGAGGAGGGGTATACTCCCTTACACAATGTAATGTTTTCATAATTATTAACAAGAAAACCCTTTTTACCCATATGAACACGCATATATCACATAAATATACATATATATTTACATGTGCATGCGATGTCTACACTCACATTGTTAACAACCCAAGGATGTGTTAATCAGGTCAACGATACAATAAAAAGCATTAAGTATTTTCTATCTTTATGCATAGATGAATGAATGAATGAATGAATGAATGAAAGAATGAATGAATGAATGAATGAATGAATGATAAAATGTATGGAGATGAGAAGAAATGAAGAAATGAAATATTGAAATCATTTCTTGACACTTTACAGTATGTCTTTTATTGTATGGTGTATAGAAAAATGGTAGAAATCAAAATTGTTGCTTGCTGAACATGAAAAGCTAAGTATAAAAACTAACAGCAGCATTCGCAAGCGAAAACAGTAGCAAAGGAAAAGCTTTTTAACGTTTTGCATGCATATGTACGTGCGTATGTTGAAGCGTTCCCTCGTTATAAATTAATTCAAGTTGAAAATTCATTAAAAATATTAACACATGAATATATGAAAGGGCAAATATATGTATATATACACACACACACACATATATATATATATATATATATATGTATATATTTGAACATGTTATATATATATCCATTCTTACCGATATTTGTACGCATACATTTGCAGCATTCAGTTATGGCGGTTCTTTTCATTTTTCGTATGTTCTCGCTCGCTTTCTCTTTTTGTTTTTGACAAAAATTACATGAAGCGTAAAATTTTAATAAAATTTTCACTAAATATACATAAAGAAAAACTTTGCCTTTTTCCCACACATTTCCACACACAAACACACACCCACACATACACACACACACGCACATACGTATACATACCCACACAAGTACATTTTTAATTATATTCCTTTAAAATATGTTAAAATATATTTAATGTAGGCAAAAATACATGCGTATATAGTGTATGTGTATGTGGGTGTGTGTTTGTGTGCGCCAAAGGATTTCCGTTGCGGATGCACAACATTTTCCATACTTATGCTTTTTTATGTCTGTCTAAAATAATGTCGGTGCTGACGTTGCTATTTTTTCACGTATCAAAAGCTCTTCTTTTTCTTTTTCATTTTGATTTTCTTCTTTTTCTTTTTATTTATTTATTTATTTATTTATTTTTTTTTTTTCTTTTCGTTTTTTGTCATCTTTTTTGGGTATTTTGTGCTCCTTTTAATCATTGTCAAACTTGTCTTTACTTTTTATGCATAAATATCTAACTATATTCGTGCATAGTTATATGCATGTGTGTGTGTGTGTGTGTTGCGTATGTATATTTGTGCCCATTATATATAGTGGCATTAGCTTCAACATTAGTTAAAGTGCTTGATAAAGTTAGTTGCAGTTTTTTTTTTTTTTTTTTTGTTATATTTTTTGTTATTTTTTTATTTTTTTTTTTTTAAC